TGTGTGTGTGTGTGTGTGTGTGTGTGTGTGTGTGTGTGTAGGCGACACTCCAGTTCAATCCTTCAGCAACTCTTATTGTGGTTTACATTAAATAAGAGTTACCTAACCACTGTAAGTGAGGATATAACTGCACAGCACTGAAAGACAGGTCAATAATATTTATTTGTTTGTTTTTACGGTGGCAGTAAAATAATGAGGGCATATCCTGTTCTCTTAAGAATAGAGGTAAAACTCAATTTAGTCTCAACTGGTTGCATGACTCTTCACAGCTGAGGAAATAAATGAAAACGACACATTTCCTCTTGGTGTCAATATGCGTAAGTGCCCAGTTTTTAAATCTGTGGAAATTCTCTTCTGACTCCTAACTTTGGCCTTCTGTTTCAAAGCTGTTCGGTGTGGTCTCCGTCTCTTCCGATCTGACCCAGGCTTTGGGTGAAGTGCTCTTCTGGGTTTTGGGCACGAGCGAGTCAGGCTGGCAGGTATCAGCGAACCTCTCTCGCGCCTTCTCCCAGTTCTTTTGGGACTTTGATTTAGTCAAAGACGCGTCGTCCAGAGACATGGCGGCAGCTGCTCCCAAACCCGACTGGGACTTTCGGATTTTCAGTTGAATCTGTGAAGACGGGAACGGAAAAGGAAGACAACTGAATCACATTGCTGTTTTGCACTGAAACAAAGGAGAACTTCCACCAGCAGAATCAGCGGATGGTCTTACCGGGTCTTTCATTCCGGTTCCCATTTTGCCCAGTCCCTCTCCTTTCTTCCAGCCCATCTTTTCCAGCATCTTCCGTCCTTTATTCACTTCACTGATCTCCCTTTTGGAAAACAGACACAGTGAATGATCAACACTTGAATCTAGCATTTCCCATCAGGTGGAACTACAGCCATTTGCTAACACTTACTCATGAACAGAAGCCGGTGCATCATCGCGTTGGAAAGCACCCTCACTGCCCACTGTTTGCCTTCGAGATTCTGCTCGATCCTTATATTTGGGGTTCTTCAAGGCTTTCGTCTCCTCAAAGTCACCGCTCTGTTTGCAGAAAAGCAGAGAAATGAGTGCCTCCATTATTATAAAAAAGGAAAAGAAAAGACAAGAGGGTTAAAACTTATGACTGCACCAAGGTTTGCACTCACTTGCAGGCCATATTTGGCCTTCATCTGCTTCAGCTCTTTCTGTCGCAGTGATTCTTTATCCTCTTTGGTGAGAGCAGGACCTTTAGAAAACAACAGCGGCAAACTCAGGAGTGTAATCTCACACTGGGAAAGAGCACAGCTTTTACAACAAGAGCAGGCTCACTGTTGTTTCATGAATCTATGCAAAAAAAAAAAAAAAAAATATTCCCCTCTCTGTGGACGTGTTTCACTTTAAGTAGCTCACCAGTGTTGTCTTCTCTCTTGTGCTTGCTGAGGTGAGCCATCACCTGACCGGGCTCACAGCCATCACAGGTATCGTTCCCTGAATGGATATGGAAGGACAACACAGTCTCTCCCATCTTCACTTCATCGCCGTGCATCAGTGCATGTGGCTCAGACTTGGTTTTGGGCTGCAGATGAAAGTATCATTGACGTGGTATCGGCTAAGTTCAGGTTTTGTTTGCTTTTTTCTTTTCAACTCAAACGTAAACAAAATGCTCACCTGTAAGATGCGGTTGCCATTGATCACCGTTCCATTCTGGCTTCCCTGGTCCACCAGCATGTAGCTCTGCTGCTCCTGTTCAAAATACACCTCTGCATGGAACTGGAACCACAAACATACTGGCATTTAGAAAGATCACATAAGCCTGTGTTAACTAAAAACAATCATTCATAACAGAGTAACTTCCATCCCTGCAGGAAAGCGGAAAGGAGAGGTACCTTGCTGACTCCCATTTCTGGTATTCGGATTGCGTGGTTCATATCTTTCTCTCTGAAAACACAAAAGACAGCATGTTGTCTTCACTTGGCTATTATATGACAGAGAGATCAATTTAACCTCTTTTTACTGACTACTCATAGTTTTAACAACGGCTCTGAAATCTTGTGAGTGATTTAATTCAAACTGCAACTAAAGTGCTAAAATTTCCCACTGTTGCAATGTGTGAACAAAATACACTTCTGCTGCCATGCAATCACCAAACAGCAACAGAAAACAACCCCACAGACCTGCCAATGGTGGCTGGAGAGTCGGCTGTGATGATGAACAGAGTGCCCACCTGCAGCACAGGAGACCTGACCACAGTCACTCTTACACAGGGAGGCCAGATGTCTTTGACTACAAGGAAAAAAAAATAAAGCACCACATACTCATATTCACAAAAATATGACAAGTCTCAGACAGCTACAAGCATTACCAAAAAGTGACGGGTCAGACTACTCTTACTTCTCACCTTCTTGACTCTGTGTGTCCATTTCTGATTCAGGACTTTCCATTGAGGCTGCGCTCGAGGGCGACGAGAACGAGGGGGTAGACTCCCATTCTTCCCTCTCTGACTCTGTGATCTCACCCTCTTCTGGTTCACTGTTCCCCTCAGATCCATCACTCCGAGTGGCCTTCTTTTTCTTTTTATGTTTTTCCGACTTAGATTTCTTCCTTTTCTTCCTAGAGTCTCCCTTATCGTCATGGTGCGAGCCGTTTTTCTGCTTTTTTCTCTTTGATGGATATTTGTCGCCGTCTTCTTTGCGTTTGGACGAGTCTTTTCTCCGTGGAGCCATATCTGGACTGCGAGACCTTCGTTTCGCTTTCCGTGATTCTGTCTTCTTCTTAGTCGTTTGCCTTTCAACCCAGTCGGCCTCGTCTTCTTCCAGCTTTACATCGTCACTTTTCACTTCCTGTCATTAAGACAGTGAGCAGTGAAACTACCATCTGCTGTGAAAGCTGGACTTTGTACTATGGATCCCCAATCTTTTGGCACAGAAAGCTTATAGACGGTCTCAGTCTTCAAAGAGAATACACTAAAGACCTTTACCAGGTTAAATCAGGCCTGACAGCAAATTCTAAGTGTTGAGCTGAGCTTCAGCAACTTATTATTTGCGTCCTTTGAGGTTAATGGGTTTACTTTTTCACTTCACTAACTCTTTATTAGCCGTATCTCACACAACAGGATTGAATGTAGGCAACACAGAGACCAGGGTCAGTGTTTGACTCACTGTGTCACCTTTAAAGATTGTTAAGGTGCTGTGTACAATAAGAAGCTAATTTTCAGTTTTTTAAAGAACAAAAAGCAAACACATACTTTTAAATCTTTTGCACATTAATATTAAAAAGGTATACCTCTGTAGGAAGGAGTTTTCCAGTAAGAGGAAATCTTCATTTTAGCCAAAGAGTTAGTCACCTCTTGCACCTAGGTCAGAGGAATAGTCTTTAAGTCAACTAGCTTCATATAGAAAGAAAAAAATATCTATTTGAAGACTGAGACCAGCAAAACAAATTGGATTTTAAAGAGGGAACTGAAAGGTCAAAGCCAGCTGTCAGCAACAAAATGTAACATTTTTAAGGAATGCATAAATAAAATCTTGCACTATTACATACCCTATCATCCTGTGATGCTTTCTTGACTCCTTTCTTGAATTTTCTGCCTTTCTTATCAGCGTCCGTTTTTTCTTGATACTGCTCTGCACTACTCTGCACAGCAGGAACCTCAATCCTGGAATGAAACTGGTATCGTCCACTCTCTGCATCGTAGTAGTAGTAAATGCCAGAGTTGGCATCGTAGTACAACTGACTGGCCTGATGGAGAGGGGTGAAAAATGTCAGAAATGTGTGCCAAACTAAACTTCCTCTAAAATAATTTCTACTATAAACTGCCAAACTTTACAGCTCACACACCGAGTCGTAGTAGAAGCCCGTGCTGTGGTCATAATACATCCCAGAAGTCTCATCAAACACAAACCCAGTCTGTGTCATAGCCTCCTCAGCAGTGGCCCTCAACATATCTGCTATAGATCCTCCATCGCTCCCCTGAAACACAAATAGTTTTATAATGGTGACTATAAATGGAATATGACTCTTTTTATAAGTATAGGAATGCTAACATAAAAATAAAAATAAAAAGACACACATGGATACCTCTGTTGTGACCGCTAAACTGGTCTGGTCTGGCTGAACTGACACATCTGCAGCTGTTGCTTCATTTGTTGTTGAGCTCTCTGCTGCCTCATAATCAGCTGGCGCCGTGTTCAGGCTTTCCTGAGTGTCTGCTCCCTCCGAGTTCAGACCGTAGTCTCCATAGTAGTAATTATAATAATCTGAAAAGGAATATTAAAACAGCTTTAGGCT